CTCAATTAAAACTAAAACCATAATTAAAAAAGCTAGAGAAAAGGATGATACTAATGCAATACCTTGATGAGATCCAAAAATTGGGGGTTCTTCAAAACGAGAGAAAGAGAGTCGTTTCAATGCAAAACTAATATCAATGAGAATGAGTCCAGAAGATTGATCAGTAACAATAATATCCTTAACCGGAAGCCATAGAAAAAGCTCTTCACGAGACATGCCTTCGAAAACCTTAAGTTGTCCGAAACTAAGGTTGGCTTTAACAACCGTGTCGAAGAACACTGTGGTTTCATACTGAGCCAAACAAGGACGATCCAAGTGTACTTCTAAACGACCCATTTGGTCCAATTGGAATGATTTCACACTCTGAGGGAAGAGTCCTGATGGGAGGCCATGGTTGCGGAGAATCTCAAGAAGGGGAGATTCTTCAGGAGTTGTTCCTGTGAGAGAAAGAGTGAAAAGAATGACAAGAAGGAAAATTAAAACATGAGATTTTGGTGTCAGATACATGCTCTTAGGGTGGGAGTACGATGAAACACCTGAGTTAGTGTTTTTTATTCTTTTGAGGTTTTTGTTTTATATGGTTTTTGTGTTTTTCTAACGTTGGCAGTTACCAAAACAAAAGTACTAGAATGTGGAAAGTGTGTTGTTTCAGAAATGAAAACCTTGTGCTGCTGAACTTAGATTCGATGTCGAGGGTTGGAAAGGGAGTGAACTTTGAGTTTCATAATTTTCAAGGAAATGTATATATTCAAGTTTAGTACTATGTGACAGTATAGGATTTATCAAAGTTTGCAAAAAATTTAGTGTTGAATACATTACATAAATATATAATATAAATAATGGAAACATTTATAATAATTGAAAATACTTATATACATTACATAAATATATAAATATTTATATAATGTCACAAACAAAACAGAAAAAAGAAATATTTATATACTTAATGGACCAATAAATACATTACATATAAAAAAACAGTTACATATTTTTTCTGTTTAAGATATGCAAAAATCGTGAAAGGTGTTTAAAATACCAATAAATAAGAGACATCCACTTCTCCTTTTAAGCATGACATGCTTCTCAAAACAAGTTATTTACTCTTAAATGGTATGACTTAAACGGAATTCGAGTTTTATAGAATTGAAAGAAAAAAAACATGCTTTAATGTAGGCTTAAAATGTCAAAAAGCTAATCATTAGATATTTTGTAACCTAAAACATCAAGCCAAAAGGGTAGTTATGGTTCTTAGGAAGTAATTATGGAACACCTACCCATACACCATCATATCCCTATGTGGTATGCCCTACATGATGCAAGGGAAAGGCGACGAAGATCATTAAAGTTGTAACACTCTAACAAAAAAAAAGCAATCATACTAAAATTCTAAGAAGGGACAAAGTGGACATCAACATAAAATTTCCCCAAACAAAATTAAATTTTAAGAGAATGAGGTTTTAAAATGTGTGCAAAAGAACATAACCGAACTTGCAAGCCACACCCCAACTTCTGTGGACGAAGCTTAGGGCTACTATTTTGGATTGAATTGATGCTCAATCCACAAAGGCATAATCAGAAGGACGACCTAATCAAAGAAAAGGTTTAAATGCCTTGCGAGATGAGTCTGACCGTTGGATCTAGAAGAAACAAGATCTCTAAACATTTGACCCTCAAGTATGAGCCTACAATGCTCCCCCTCAAGTGATGATGAGTCTTTAATCTTTAGGTAAGTGTTTGATCCAATGTGAATACTTTTCCTTTATGAAAATCCATAATGTGGTATCAGAGTCTGGTTTGAGTAAGGGACCGCCTCCTTGTATCGAAAGTCAACGGCACCACAAGGGTGGTGAGTAAGAAACGTTCTGTTGAAGAGTGTCAACGGTGCCGCGATGATGGTGAGTAAGAAACGTTTCATGCGGTACAATAGTTTGTGGAAGTAAGAAGAGTTACCACTTGAGGGGGAGCATTGTGAACTCACACTTGAAGGGGAGTGTTGAGAATGTAGCAATTATGAGTAGTTTGGGTAATAGCCTCACAATGATTAGAAATATGGAGACTTGAGCATTTTTAAGCGAGAGAACCCACTCACCTATCACCTTAAGGTTTTGGGTGAATATATGGTGTGTCTCTCACATATAGGTATTGCTAAAGAAAGGAAGTCCAACAGTGTCCAATGCTCCCTAGTGAGTAAATAACTCTTTCAACACATGGTATCATGAGCCTTTGGTTCGAGTAAAGGGACAGACTTACTTATATTGAAATGCCTAAGAAGAGGTGTCCCGTTGTAATCGAAATGCCCAAGAAGAGGTGTATTAAAATGCCCAAGAAAAATGTGCCAACGACGATACAAGTGTATGTGGATAAAAAAGAGTTTCCACTTGAGGGGGAGCATTGTGGACTCACATTTGAGAGGGAGTATTGAGAATAATATGTCAAGTGTGAGTTGGAGTTCCACATTGATTATAAATGTGGAGACGAGACTTGAACATTAAAAGTGGGAAAACCAATATATCTATCACCTTAAAGTTTTAGATAAATATGTAGTGTCTTTCAAAATTATGCAACCAAAAAATCTCTAACTAAAAACCAATATTTCTCATAATATCTACATCAATTCCTTTATATCTAAGTCGACTATAATCAATATCTATCACACTCCATGCTTTGAATAATGATGAATTAAAATTAAATTAAAAATTAAAGGGTGTTCACACATAGATAACTTGGGTTGCAAATTACCAACATAACTCCTTCTATAAAGGAGCTTACTTCATAAATCGAGAATTGTTTCTCATGTTGTTCTACTATGTTTTATTGTGAGCTTAAACCACATCATTACCAGAAGATTCGGTAATATTGCTCTAACAACAAAACCAAGTGCCAAAATCTTTACAAATAAGTCATATTATAGACAACAATATTCACTTAATTTATTTTTTATATAAAAATATTCACTTAATCTTTTGTTGAATTTGTATTTATTTTTAATCAATGGACTCCAACAGTTAATAAAATTCATCTAAATAAATAAATGGTTAACAGTTTCAATCAAAGGTGAAAAATAAAATTGATTTATGATAAAAAAAAATAACATATCTAATTACTTTGATCTTTATTATTATTTTTTATTATTTTAAAATTCATTAAATAACAAATGTATTTGAACCATTGTATGGAATAAATACATTGATTATTTAATAAATTAAAAAAATTATAAAATAAATAAGAGAGAATAATTTTTAATAAACTTGAAACTCAAATAATTATAAACATATAATTAAAATAAAATAGTCTAACATAAGAGTAATTTTGTAATCATATCAGTCAAACAAGTACAAATCAAATGCCCCAAAAAAGGAATATATTTCTCACTCATTAAAAAACAACCTGGAAATAAAAACACATGATGCCATTGTGAGAAACATTTACATATTATATTGTACTTTCTTTCTCTTTCACTCTCTCACTTTTTAAAACATCTTTGTTCATTACTTGTTTCTCCAAAATGGAACAAGTTAATGATAGTAACATATTATAGGTGTCTCAAGATGAGTTGTTTTTCAATGCTGAAGAAGACATCAATAAGGGAAAACCGAAAAAGAAATACTATAATGAAGATGGCACAAGAGTGTTTGTATCAAAGAATCTTGAGATTGAAAGGAGGAGGAGAGATAAACTTCATTCAAGGCTTTGCACACTTCGTTCTATAGTACCAAACATCACAAATGCAAACTTTCTAAACTTCACTCTCACTTTTTTTTGTTATATATAATGATTTTAATGTTCACAATATTATGAAAAAAATTTACATGGTTTTTTCAGATGCTGAAAGAAAGCATTATTGAGGATGCTATTACTTATGTCAAGAAGCTTCAAGATGATGTTAATAAACTCACACAAGAGCTTCAAGCAATGGAAGCAGAAGAAAACTTAGAACGGAAAATAAACAAAGTTTCTGATGCAGAAGAGATGAAGAAATGGGGAATACAGGTTTTGTACACATTAATTTTAATTTTAATTTTATTAAATATATGAAATATTATTTAATCATATAACATGTTTTTTGTATAGGAAAAGATTCATGTGGAAAAAACTGATGGGACTAATCTTTGGATTAAGATGATCATTGAAAAAAAGAGAGGGAGGTTCAAGAAACTAATGGAGGTTATGAATGATTTATGCATTGAAATGACAGACATTAGTGTTACAACTATAAAAGGAGCATACATGATTACAACATGCTTAAAGGTAAGAATCTAAATAAAAAAGTTGATTAACTACAATAGCTTTTGGAAAAAGCTAACATTATTATTAACTTTGATTCATTTTTCTTTGTTATTTTTCAGAACTTGGGTGGTGAACAATTTGATGTTGATCAAGCAAAATATTGGTTGCAAGATATAATCAAGATTATTTAGAGATGATAGATGATTTATTTCCTATGCATTTATATTTGATTTTTATTCTTCATCCAACTTGTAGTATTTACTTCTTTTATTAACTTTTTTCTTATAATAATATTTCATGTATAAGGGAATCTCAACCATATTTAAACAAGTCTGTAATAAAAATCATTCCCTTTTAAACCATTCTAAAATTTGAATATCTAACTACATGTTTTCTAACGCGTCTAAATGTCGCGTTTTAGTTCATTATTTTCACCCGTGATAACTACGCGCCTTAATGATGAATGTGAACCAACGATTGTTGTTGGATAGTTTCAGCGCGCAAACAAACACATGTTAAATAATAAATTTTGTGTCTTGTACGGTGACAGATAGTATTATTGAACAATTAACACAAAACGTTTAATAAAAGTATCTTATGGAAAATAAAGTGATTTCTTAGATTCAATTTCTTCTTAATTAATTGGCCATGATTTCCTCTCTTAAATTGAAAGTAGATATCACTATAGATTACTCAGAGATTAAATTCTAGTAATTATTCAATGGCATTATGATTTTATATAAGTTGCACATTTTGTAAATACACATAAATTTTCATATAGAGAAACCCCAATTTTGAAAATATTTAAGCCATCCTTTACCCTTTCTTTCACCCAAACCAAAAGAAAGACCTGCAATCATCATAGAACAAAACTCATTTTAAAAAATTAATTTTTTTTAACTATACTTAATTAAAACTAAAACCATAATTAAAAAATCTAGAGAAAAGGATGATACTAATACAATACCTTGATGAGATCTACAAATTGGGGGTTCTTCAAAACGAGAGAAAGAGAGTCGTTTCAATGCAAAACCAATATCAATGAGAATCAGTCCAGAAGATTGATCAGTAACAATGATATCCTTAACCGGAAGCCATAGAAAAAGCTCTTCACGAGACATGCCTTCGAAAACCTTAAGCTGCCCGAAACTAAGGTTGGCTTTAACAACCGTGTCGAAGAACACTGTGGTTTCATACTGAGCCAAACAAGGACGATCCAAGTGTACTTCTAAACGACCCATTTGGTCCAATTGGAATGATTTCACACTCTGAGGGAAGAGTCCTGCTGGGAGGCCATGGTTGCGGAGAATCTCAAGAAGGGGAGATTCTTCAGGAGCTGTTCCAGTGAGAGAAAGAGTGAAAAGAATGACAAGAAGGAAAATGAAAACATGAGATTTTGGTGTCAGAGACATGCTCTTAGGGTGGGAGTACGATGAAACACCTGAGTTAGTGTTTTTTCTTCTTTTGAGGTTTTTGTTTTATATGGTTTTTGTGTTTTTCTAACGTTGGCAGTTACCAAAACAAAAGTACTAGAATGTGGAAAGTGTGTTGTTTCAGAAATGAAAACCTTGTGCTGCTGAACTTAGATTCGATGTTAAGGGTTGGAAAGGGAGTGAACTTTGAGTTTCGTAATTTTCAAGGAAATATATATATTCAAGTTTAGTACTATGTGACAATATAGGATTTATCAAAGTTTACAAAAAATTTAGTGTTGAATACATTACATAAATATATAATATAAATAATGGAAACATTTATAATAATTGCAAATACTTATATACATTACATAAATATATAAATATTTATATAATGTCACAAAAAAAAAATAAAAAAAAAGAAATATTTATATACTTAATGGACCAATAAATACATTACATATAAAAAACATTTACATATTTTTTCTCTTAAGATATGCAAAAATCATGAAAGGTGTTTAAAATACCAATAAATAAGAGACATGCTCTTCTCCCTTTAAGCATGACATGCTTCTCGAAACGATTTATTTACTCTTAAATGGTATGACTTAAACGGAATTCGAGTTTTATAGAATTGAAAGAAAAAACATGTTTTAATGTAGGCTTAAAATGTCATGCTCAAACACGATGTTATATAGGGTATGGGCTACTCAATCATAAACATTTTTTTTTAAATTCAAAACAAAAATAAAATTATTATAATTATACGTAAAATATATTGATTTAAATATAATATGTTTTTTAGCATTATAGTTAAGAGAATAGTTGTTATGTTAAGAAATAAGAATTGGTGAATTGATGAGGTGAATTATTGATGAGGTGATGCAGATCTCTGGTGCGGTAGCGCGAGTATGCATGTAAGATTAACACTCTAAATTCTAAATTAGTGAGTGAAAAAAAAAGGTAGAGTGAATTATGATCAGAATCATACCTTAAGGCGCACACATAGTTGCCTTATATATGATGAACGTAAATTGGGATTAAATTTATATTGTGTATGTGGCATGCCAAAAACAGTTTCCCCCAAGGCTTATCTAGGCATGACATACGACAAGCCTTTCAAGAAACTGGGTCGAGTTCTCTATATCGGGATCTTTATGTAGAGAAGTGGAAGAGATATGGCGAACAAACACATTAAATGGTAGTCTCATCATTGCGATGTTTTGTAGGATTTCCTTACAAATGACCCATGTTTCGTAGGCTAGGCCACGATCTTATCCTCTAGGATGCTCTTTGTGCACTAAAATGTCGTTGTATTTTCGAGGCGATATATGATTGTTGTTTTCCGTCTTCCCATTTTCTCTCATTCTAGATCATTGATTTATCCATCTTGCTCTACTATATAAAGATTATTTTTGTTTTCTAAATGATTTTCACTCTTTCTTACAAACTAAGACTTACCTTCTTCTCACAAACCCTTTTCTCCTCCCTTGAGCTCTAGTAACCTTTGATTTCTCCATCTCGTCTTTCTATCTGAGTTATGTGTTTCCTAATTCACCAACATCTCCGAGTTAGACATGCCTTAATCGTTTTGTCACTTCACCTTTTTATTCATGTAACATTTCTATCCTTTTTTTTGTTGCATTTTGCCACTTTGTTTCTTGTTTTTTCCATTACCAATATAGATAATATGCGTGCAAACATGATAAACAATTTTGATGGCAAAAATTCTTCGTCATCTACAAAACTCTAATATTCCAAATAATGACCCTTTAAAGGTTAATAGACCCAAATATAACCTTATTGTGTTAAGTGATAGTTATGGATCTGGCGAGGATTTTGTAGAAAATAACGATGAACCCTTTAACATCTCTATTGAGTAGGGTACTGACGAATCTTCTGAAGAAGATGAAGAGATGAACTTTGGTAACCTTGATATGAGGGATGTGGTTGTCCGTGTTTCCTCCTCTATCAGGGATCATATAGACCTATTTATTGCTATAACAACTCAAAATAAGTGGCGGACTCGCTATTTTGCTAGAACTTTTAGGGCGAGTCATGGTCAATGTAACACTCGTTTATTTAAATTATTTTTTTCGTAATTTAATTTTTTGAATTGTTTGTTTTGTTGTGTTTAGGGATGCCCTTGGTGTGGAGTGGTAACCTTAAGAGTAGATATTGATGGATTGTTGAGAATTATTATTATTATTTTAATTAGATGGGATCAAAAATAATAATAATAATAATAATAATAATAGAACAAAATAAAAGAAAATGAGATATTAAGTGTGTAGAGAATTGAAGGGCAAAATTGTAATTACATAGTATGAGTGAGGGTAGAAGAGGAAAACCATAGTGAGGGAGTTTATAAAGGAATTGGAAAAGATTGGAATCAATTTTTCTGAGGGTACGTGTTTGGAACTGAAGGTGAGAAAGGCTAGGGCTAGAGGATAAGAAGAGGAACCAACATATGTGAAAGTTTGAAAAACTTGATTTCGAGGTAAGGGTGAGGCTCTGATCCTATAAGAGTTAACATGTTGAACGGTGGGTAGAAGCTAGGTTTTGTCTTATGGGTGGAATGTTGTTCCATGTGGTGATTACTATGAATACTTGATCAATAATAAAATTGTTACTTGATTGTGTGATAAATGATATTTTCTAATTGATATGTGATAAGTTCTGTACATGTATGTGTGTAGAAATTCTGTTTTGGAAATTGTTGAAAATTCCTCCATTGTTGAGTTTTGGAGTTTCGATTCAGAAGAATGAAATTATGATGAATTGTTGTTAATCCATGAGTAAAACAATGCATAATCGAGGTTTAGGATGTTATTTTGGTATAAAATCGGGTCTTTGGTGATATGGGTCAGTGGTATAGGCTTTGGTGTGAAATTCTGGGGTGAAAGTGCTTTAAAAAAAGTGACTTTTGGGGTTCAGAATAGTATGAGTCGACCGCTAGAACCCCTGGATCGACTCATGGTCACTTGAATGAAAAATTATAGAAATTTTAACAGTATGCATCGACTCATAGGTTTTGCGTCGACCTTTAAGTCGACTCATAGGCAGAAAAATGCCAGAAATGGTTTCGGTCATAACTTTTTAACCGTTAATCCAAATGACGAACTGTTCGAAGCGTTGGAAAGCTAATGAGCCGAACTCTAACATGGTATAATTAAATGACTAATTTTTCTAATATTTTTATATCTAATATGTTGAATATTACAACTATTACTTGTTGTGCATGTAAAGAAATCTGGTTGTAAGTGGTGAAACATGAATGTTGTTATAAAGAGGTTGTTGTGGTGTTATTAGTGTAAATTGGGCATGTTTGATGATGTTATTGTGATTTCATAATATATACATGTATGTATATACTGTATGAAATACATTTTTATGCTTGATGGCCAATTTGGGTGGTGTACAAAAACCATGGTGGTGGATTATTGCACACGATGATGTTGTTGTTGTTGTATGCATAAATAGTTGCATTGCATACATTTGTGGACAGATGGTCCGTTGCTGGTGAGCCTAAAATCTCATTGTTTGGATTAGGGACGATAGCTGATTCAGAGGTGATGGATCAATGAGTGATTATGGTCCTAGGAGGTGGAGACTAGAACGGTGAACCTGAGTGTTCATGAAAATTGGTACCACATACATACGCATTGAGTCGGGTGTGAGTCTCATTGCATTATATCACATCTATGTTGCTAAGTTGTTAAATACATGGTGATAGGTGATTAATTGATTTGTATCGTGTGATTTACTTGTTATTTGTGAATAATTGGTGATGATATCGTTGGATGATTGGTGTAAGATGTTAGTTGAGTTGTTGTTGTGACTTCATGCATGCTATTTAACATGCTTTCCTTTATATTATCATGATATCTCACCTCTTCTGTTCGAATATTACCTCTATATGGGTAATATGTAGATACTCTGCAGTAGGACTCAGGCAAGAGTTGAAGATGAAGTTTACTTACCTTTCTCTATTAGTTTGGTGCCTGCTCTGATTGTAACACTGAAGAGTCGTGAGAAAGCTTTTATAAATTTTAATTTCTTTGAAATTGTGGACATCTTCTTTAATATGTTTAATTGTTGCCTGTTGGATTACATGTTTCAAATTTAAATGATTTTATGTTTCCGCTGCAATCAAAATCTAAGTGTTACATAATCAGTACGATAAGCAGGTTTTGCATGTTAAAAGTAACATCCTATGTTTTGTATGTATTGGAGTAATTACTCTGATATTTTATTTAATTTTATTACGGGGAAAATATAAGGGTGTTACAGTCAAAACCCTATCGATATAGAAATTAGGGACCACATTAATTTTCTAAGCCAATATGCAGTTTTTAATCGACATTGTCCTTTTCATAACACCCGAGAGAACATGGCTTGACGAGAGCATGACAATTTGGTAGAGCTAGCAGATTTTGGCCAATACCACTAAGTGGATCTCAAACTATTGTGTACATTTTCCTTACACGAAACCACGACTAATTTCGTGGATGCTCACATAGAAGCGGGTTCACTCTCTTACTGGAATTGGTTTCCCATATCGACTATAGCATGAGGATTTATAGTTCATTTGATATGTGATTCATCTCATTTTATGAATGCTTATTTTCATGGCTAAAATTTAGGTTGTCCTGTAATGGGTTTGAGGAAGGTATGTTAAAGTACTTAAGGATTACCCCTTCCCAACTACACTTGGTGGCCTAGGATTTTGTTAAAATGTTCTAGTACTAGTATGAGTAACAGGATAAATACATGTGTTTGAATCTCTTCTTTAATATATTCATTGTGACATATACCTTTAATTCAAACTATTGTGGACATTTTCCTTACACGAAACCACGACTAATTTCGTGGATGCTCACGTAGAAGTGGGTTCACCCTCTTACTGGAATTGGTTTCCCATATCGACTATAGGAAGAGGATTTGTAGTTCATTTGATATGTGTTTCATCTCATTTTATGAATGCTTATTTTCCT